GATTAGGGCCCGGAACTTTTGTAACGGTACGATACGATTTACCCCCTCCACTTGTTCTCCTAGAAAATGATCGGTTGTTATTGACGACCGACGATCGGTTTTTTATTGCGCATCAATGTCAACATTGTCAACTGTCAGTACGATTTCACTGTTGTCCAAATGTGCAGTATTCGACGCTTTTCATCCGCATAATTTCGTCAAATTTGCTATTTATCTTTCTTTAGTTACCTTTAATTGGAAGTTGGAGTTCTGTTTGAGTTCGTATTATTGTTTTTTTTAAGAATTGTTTTTAGTTTCCCTTTGTGGTAAAATTGTTGTTCGGATTTGAGAATTGTTCAACAAATTGCCGAAAACAATATACCTTTAACTCTTAAGGAAAAATATGGTTCAATAGCTCAGTATTTTATTTATGCTCTATTTACAAGTTGTGATGTTGAAAGATTATTTTCTAGGTACAAACTCATTTTAACGTCAACTAGAACGTCATTTACAGAAGAAAATTTAGGGATGGTTGTTTCAATATGCGTTAACAGCAATTTTTTTATATCCGTATCCGATTTGTGATTGATATTACAAATCGGATCATGTTTTTTTGAATTAAAGTTATAAAATATATATTTTTTTAATATTTTCAAATCGTACTGACAGTTGACACTGACGTGTAATAAACCGATTGTCGGTCGTCAACAACAACCGATGAGGTGAGTTGACTTGACGCCACCGATTTGTTTTCTAGGAGAACAAGTGGTGGGGGTAAATCGTATCGTTCCGTTACAAAAGTTCCGTGCCCTAGTAATGACAATTATAGCGTGAAGTTTTCTTTTGTAATGTCCAGAGCCCGGACAGTTTAGGAAAATTATCCTAAAACGCCTCCCACTCCAGTCTCTATATTCAATCGAAGTGTGCGAAGCTGTCGGATACGTCATACCTTATGTCACAAAATAAATTATAATTTATAATTAATTTATTAATTATAAATTTAATAAAACCAAAAATGAATAATTCAGTGCGTATTTTTATATTATTTTTATTAATTCATTAATTAATGTTGCACTGCAAGTTCTTCGCTAAGGTACGCTCATCGCTCTTCGAAATTCAATTTTGAAGAGTAACTTAAAAGGTGTCAAAAGTGACAACAACGTACTTACGTCGTTGTCATGGAATTCGTTTCGTGTAGACGGGCGCACTTTTCCTAAACTGTCCGGGCTCTGGTAAT